CCAGTTAAATGAGTGTTACAGGTAATCAAATAAAATGTACTGACCATATGTTCAAAGTGGCCACCAGCGGTGGTCAGATGTCCGGTTGCTGAGTCCCCCTCATCTGTAAATGTCCCTGAATGGCATAATATTTTAGCCGGCACCTGGCTACGTAAGCATTATCCAAGAATACAGAATCTTCCTTAGGAGGACAGGAAATACCCTTGAAGGGAATAACTCCCCAGTTCTTACTAGGACACATTTGCACCAGAATAAAGCCAGCCATAGACAGATCAAAATTTGTCCAGTTCAGCAGGTACTGGGAAAATTTCGATCCATTTATGGGCAGGCTGGTTATACTGAAGTTGATTGATCATCTTTCAGTATGACCAGCCTGTATTTTTTTTATCATTCAACCACTGCCGGTTGGTGACTATAGCCATCGGCAGTGATCATTGCATTCTGACAGCTGGGAAACCTCCCACTGTCAGAATACAATAGCACAGTGGGAGGAATTCCCCCATCAACACTGTTTGATGGCATAATTGAGCAATTTTTTTTCCATGTTAAAGGAAAGAAAATTGCATAAAATTGCCTTAGAACTAGAACAGTAATCAGCACTCTGTGACCTAACTGGTCTGACACACCCCCCTTCTTCCTCTACAGTATAAGTCAGGGTGTAGCTGTTACTCAGCGATACCAGCGAAGAGCGCTGAAAGAGGCAGCATATTTTTCTGAAAGATAGACATTTCCAGACAAAAATCAGTCAAAAATCATAACATTCAAAGGCACATAACTGTAAAGTAATAAAAGTGGAGAAACTTCAAATGGACTTTAGCTATAAAAGTTTCATGAAACCTCATAGTCCCTAACCCTTCACGCTTCTCCTGTAGCTTCAGTGCTGAATCCTCTTGGAGTTGTTGCAAATACATTACAAAGCCAATCACAGAACACTAGAAGCTACTGCTTTGTACAAATCAAGTATCATTTACATTCAATCAGTCAATACAATATCCACTACTACCATACTGCACTTAATGGTGATGTTGTCTCCTGTTATTTTGCTGCCTAGTATCTGACTTTATCCTATCCCAGAAAATAGTCCAGTACACATTATTGTCACGTACTGTATACTTATCTTTACCTCAAGGTGTCATCTTGGCAAACCTAGGAACAGTGATTACTGCATTCTGCCTGTTGGTTGCAGTGATTAATAATTTTCACAGAAAGGTTTCACAACAATAGCTGATACTTACAGATACTCATCACAGAAATATGGTACATCAAATGTGTAAAAATAAATGTCATATCAAAATAATTTTCAGATAAATGTAAAAATAAAAATGCCAATCTACTCAATTATAACGATTTCGTGAAGTGAATCAGGTTCAGGATCTATGACAGAAGTCACCAGCCACTTTGTCAGGTATTTTTAAAACAGTGATGTTATTTTATTTAGCAGGACATTAGAAACTCAGAAAAGGATCAGAAGATGGTCAGCTCAGAAGGAACTCATAAGATCAGAAGAAAATCAAACAGAGGTTAGAAGGAACTGAGAATGAGGTCAAAAGGAACTCAAAATTAAATCAGAGTGAGGTCAGGAGGAGGTCAGATGGAACTCAAGAGAAACCTAAACGAAGGTCAAAAAATCTTAGAAATTCAGATGGAGTTCAGAATGAACTCAGAGGGTAGAAGGAATGCAGAAGGAGGTCAGAATGCAGAAAATTGTCAGAACTATGTCCACACACAAGAAACTCAAAGGGTCAGAAGAAACTCAGACAGAGGTTAGAAGGAACTCAAAGAGAGCTCAAAAAAAGAAAAAGAGAAAAGGGAGGTCAGCAGACATCAGGGAGGGGGTCATATGGAACTCAGAAAAAAGGTCATAAGTAATTCTGACAGAACTTCTGGCAATCAGAAGGAATTCAGATGGAGCTCCAAAAAACTCAAAATAAGTTTAAAAAGGAATCCAGAAGAAACTCAAAAGAAGATCAGAATGAACTCTGAAGAGAATGATCAGAATAGAAATAGAAGGACAGAAGGAACTCAGAAGGAGGTAAGAGGAGACTCAGATGACAATCAGAAGGCAGAGAATAGAATAAATTTAGAAGGAGATCAGGATTCAGAAAAGGGTCAGAAGGAGGTCAGCTCAGAAGCAACTCATAGGTTTCAGAAGAAACTCAGACAGAGGTTAGAGAGAACTCAGAATGAGGTCACAAGTAACTCAAGAAAGAACTCAGAGGAAGTTCAGAAGGAACTCAGATCCAGGTCAAAAGGAGGGGGTCGTATGTAGCTCAAAAAAAAAAAAGGTAAGTAGGAATTCAATCCAATCTTCTGACAATCAGAAGGAATTCAGATGGAGGTCAGAAGAAACTCAAAAGGAGGGTAAAATTAATCCACATAAATCCAGAAGAAGATCAGAATTAGCTCAGGAGAATAGAAGGAACTCAGAAGGTAAGAAGAGACTCGTGATACAAGTAAGAAGGAGTGCAGCATTGCAGTCAGAATGAATTCAGACAACTCAGATGGCAATCAGAAGGAATTCAGATGGACGTCAGGAGAAACTCAAGACAAGGTCAAAAAATCTTAAAAGGAACTCAGGAAGAGTTCAGATTGAACTGAAACAGAGGTTAGAAGGAATGCAGAAGGAGGACCGAAAGCAGTCAGAATAGAGGTCAGGAGGAAGTCAGAAGAAAACCAGCAAGAACTAAGATCAACCTAGATGGAGGTCAGAAGAAGCTCAAAAGGAACCTAAACAGAGAAGGAAGTCAGGAAATTCAGATGTGGGTCAGGAGGTATTTAAAAGGCTGTCAGAAGGAAAACAGAATGATCTTACATGTATCTTGAATACACCTGAAAGCAAGCAACGTTTGCCTGTCTACACAAGACCTAAGAAAACCGATTTGCAAAATAGAAATGATATGTGGTGGGTACAGAGGAACCATATTAACCATTTGAAATGTTTTTTTAAAAAAAGGCCCCAGTATGTGTACTCAATGACAACACCATTTAAAAAAAAGCTCCATTTTAATTTCAGTATTCTAGAGAGGCCACTCTTGGCAGGCAGTGACTGAAGAGGTATATTTATAGATCGTGTTCCAATAAAAATTTACTCATGTTGTTTGATACAAAAGAAGCAAAATAGTTGGAACTGCTAAGGATTTATGATTCCAAAAACACATTAAAAATGAAATGATTAAAAATGCCAGGGTGGATGACTCACATCTGATGATAAAAAAAAAACAACAAACATTAAAGGTCCTAAACAGCGAAGAAGAGAACTGGGAAAAATAAACTACTGATAACGAGAAAATAGTTTGCAAATTACATAGAAATATTTGAAGATTTAGCTTTATGATAAATCATAAAATCATTAGAACGCTTATGGGATGAGTGATTCAAAATGCCAGTCAATTTTTGTTTTCAATTATGCCTTTTGGGTTTTAACAGTATGCAGAGGGAAAAAAAATTAAAAAGTTTTTCTAAAGTGTAGCTTGTGACCCATTGTATGCATACAACATTTTATGTAGATCAAAGGAAGGCAAGCCTAGCTGAAATGTGAGGACCAAAGCAAAGATGAGACCAAAAGACTATAGAGTAAGGGAATCTCAAAGCAGAATTAAAACTTTGCAAAAAACAAATAGTAAAATGGGCCCCAGGAGCTTTAAGCCATAATGTACTAGTATTAGTACATTATGGTAGCCTTGTCTAGCTAGAGATCCTCTCTTGTACTGCTCTGTCAGCTACTATTGGTCACAAGAACCACCATCTTCTCCTGGTCTTCCTTCTGAGTTTCGATGTCACTCCCACACATGTGCATGGGAGTCACATTCTCATGGCACGGAGCTGTGCCGCAAATCTATGATAAGCTCTGACAGGCAGAGAGAAAAGTTTATGACAGAAGAGATGAATAGGGCCACTTCTGTCATAAAATTCTTCAATGTCAATGTTTTTTAATTTTTTTAGGTTTAATTCCACTTTAAGGTACACTATATTGCCAAAAGTATTGGGATGCCTGCTTTTACACGCACATGAGCTTTAATGGCATCCCAATCTCAGTCTGTAGGGTTCAATATTCAGTTGGCCCACCCTTTGCAGCTATAATAGCTTCAACTTCTCTGGGAAGGTTGTCCACAAGGTTTAGGAGTGTGTCTATAATGGGAATGTTTAACCATTCTTCCAGAAGCTCATTTGTGTGGTCAGGCATTGATGTCAGACAAGAAGGCCTGGCCTGCAGTCTTCTCTCTAATTCAACCCAAAGGTGTTCTACTGGGTTGAGGTCAGGTCTCTGTACAGGCCAATCAAGTTCCCCAGATTCATTCATCCATGTCTGTGTGGATCTTGCTTTGTGCACTGGTGCAAAGTCATGTTGGAACAGGAAAGGGCCATCCCCAAACTGTTCCCACAAAGTTGGAAGCATGAAATTGTCCAAAAGGTCTTGGTATGCTGACGTCTTAAGAGTTCCCTTCACTGAAACTAAAGGGCCAAGCCCAACCTCCACAAAACTTTACACTTGGTCACAATGCAGTCAGGCAAGTACCGTTCTCCAGGCAACTGCCAAACCCAGACATGACCATTGGATTTCCAGCCAGAGAAGCATGATTTGTCACTCCAGAGAACATGTCTCCACTGATCTAGAGTCTAGTGTTGGTGTGCTTTACACCACTGCATCCGACAGTTTGCATTGCACTTGGTGGTGTAGGACTTGGATGCAGCTGCTTGGCCATGGAAACCAATTCCATGAAGTTCTCTATGTACTGTTGTTAATCTGAAGGCCACATGAAGTTTGGAGGTCTTTAGCCATTGACTCTGCAGACAGTTGGCGACTTCTGCTCACTGTGGCTGAGTTGCTGTTGTTCCCAGTTGCTTCCACTTTGGTATAATACCACTAACAGTTGACTGTGGAATATTTAGTAGCAAGGAAATTTCACGCATGGACCTATCACATTACCATGCTTGAATTCACTGAGCTAACAGCGACTGATTCTTTCAGAAATGTTTGTAGAAGCAGTCTGCATGCCTAGTTGCTTGATTTTATACACTTGTGGCCATAAAGGTGATTGAAACACCTGAATCCAATGATTTGGAGGGCTGGCCCAATACTTTTGGTAACGTAGTGTATATCTTTTTTTAAATAAAAACAAGAAATCTTACTTTTTTTTGTTAACATTGGAAATATTTCCAATGTAAGGATAATTCCCCTCTTTGACAGTCACTGAAATAGATTACTTCCTTGCAAAATTTCCCCTGTAGCAGGCTCCTTGTACAAGAGGATTCAGAAGGAATCACACTTTCAGCAGTCAGTCCTTCCTCTCTCTCCCCTATTTATAAAACCTGGGCATTCTGCCAAGTTCATGACTCATCCACTACACAGCAAAGAATGCTGGGAAGGGGAGGAAGCAGGAAGTGGAGAGGGGGGAACAAAGAGACACGAGGCTGGAGAAAAGACAGGGACATGTGGAGCCCGTCCAAGGAGAGGAGGAGGCACTACAGCACTCAGCGTGGATAGAGGGACCCTGTTGTGTTCAGAGTCTGGTGAGCTGTCCCACTGGAGAAAGTAAGACACACCATTCACACCTTTGCATATAGACTGGACATCCGCACCCCACTGCTGGGATCTCACCCATCCGGGGCCCTGTGCAAGCCACAGATCCCTCTGCCTGCTTTGCCCCTCACCGCCAGTGTAATTGAGACTGTCTGCCCCAGGGACTGACAGATACTGGGAGATTGCATCCTGCGACTGCCCCTGGTCTTGGGGTGCTTTGTGTTGCTTTTAGACACTGAGGTTGGACCCTCTCAGCCCAGAAACCTAGTGAAATCGGATGTAATCCACACCAGCTAAAACTCCAAAGAAGCCTTCAGCTGCTATTTACTTCATTGTAATGACTAAACGTGCACCAACTAGAGCTCCACCGTTACAAGGACTAGAGTGGGGGAATCTGGCTTAGTAGCTTTATTAGAGGTACCTCTTTATTGCATTCTGTTCTGACTCTGAGGTGATTTTTGGCTAACGCCCCTCAGAAGCAGAATCATACCGCGGTGTGGGTAATACATTTCATTGATAGAGCATAAGTAAGTTTATTTGTTTGATATCAGTTGTATTCTGCTTAAAGTGCAACTCTGCCATCCGGAGACTCTTGGCTGTGAAGCCCTCTAGTGGCAGACCAAATTTACTGCATTGCATAAAAGAAGAAAAGTAAGTTTTTTGAAGTTGAAAGGGGAATCCCACCCCTCTACACTGCATTTTATTCTCCATAAAATTGTTCTTGTTTCATTTAACCGTGTGTCAGCAAATTTCTTGGCGGGGTATTTGCTATTCATTACCAGTTGTGCCAGAGGGATTGGGTTTGCTTAGGGTTGGATCTATTGAGCGCAGGACCCATAATATATTCCAGCTTGTCCCAAGGGGCAGTGCTACACCCCTGTATACCTATTTCATTGTCAACAATTAATTTGTTTACTTCACTTTCTAAGCAGATGGCCTATGGTCAGCTTACAGGGTGAATATCCCCAAAGGTCACACGTACTGCAAAAAATTCTGACAGCATTTCTAGCCCTTCGTTGATATATATATATATATAAAATATTGTGGCTTTAGGTACACTTTAACTAAATTGCTATTGACAAAAAAACCTTTTACAAAGGCAAGCATATAATTAGAAAAAATGATTCAAGCGGTAGTAAACTTTGCTGTTAAAAATAAGTTCCCCCTGGAGGTTAACCTCTTCCTGGACACCTAGCAGCCTCTTGGTGGGTGGGCTTTAACACTGTATATATGTGGCCCCAGGTAGACATATTACTGTGCTGAGAGTTCGTTCCCTGCAAAGTCCCAGCAAAGGAACCAGTGGGTACTGGAGAGCTTCAGATGCATAATTGCAATCAGGAGCTTTCCAATCTGGTCTGCCAATCACAGCGGTCACATGTTCAGAATGCTTGCCTCTGCCTTCAAGCATTTATAATCTCATAAAGGGGCAGGCTGCAGACCCTCTTCATGGCACCCCAGTATTCTGCAGTCCTAATCAGATGCGGACTGACAACTCATGGGGCCCCCGGGTAATAGGGGATCATGGGGCCCCTGTGTCCTTGCCCAAACTCAAAAAAGCCTATGAAAAAGGTACCAGGGGCATCTCACGGGGCCCCCTACTGACTCCGGGCCCTCGGGCAGTGCCCGAGTTTCCAAATGGTCAGTCTGCCCCTGGTCCTAACGCTATAAATTACGATTATGCATGTATTTGCAAATGTGTTCTAACTAAACCCCTGTTTTTAATGTAAACTGTTAGACAGGACAATTCGGTTGGTTGCAGGCTGGTTGGTAAGTTGAGCTAGGAATTTTTCTTTGTTGTTGTTTGACAAGCTCCGCCCTTCCATGTGCTCCTTGCTACAAAGGCCAATTATAGGTTGGGGCAGTTGCCGTTTGTTTGTACTGTTGGTATATTGGTGAGGGGACGCACTGGACACCTTTGCTGCCACTGTTCTAAGTGCTGGGTGTCCAGTGTGCCCTTATGCTATTAAGGAGGGGTGGGCTCCGTCCTGGCTTACCTGCCCTCAGTCTATCCATTATTATACATGTGCTTCTATTATGAAGACTCTCATAGTGTTAGAACTACAGAATACTGGGGCACCGTGAAGAGACTCTACAGCTTACGCATGCATTTGCAACTGTGTGCAAACTAAACTCCTGTTTTTAACATGAACTGTTAGACAGGACAATTTGGTTGGTTACAGGCTGGTTGCTAAGTTGAACTAGGAATTTTCTTTTGTTGTTGTTTGACATGCGTCACCCTTCCATGTGCTCCTTGCTGGCCAAGTCAGTTATAGGTTGGGGCAGTTGCCATTTGTTTGCACCATTGGCATATTGGTGAAGGGACACACTGGACACCTTTGCTGCCATTGTGCTATGTGCTGGATGTCCATTGTGCCCCTGGGCCTTTAAAGAGGAGTGGGCTCCCTCCAAGCTTACCTGCCCTCAGTCTATCTATTATTATACATGCGCTTCTACTATGGAGGCTCTCAAAAGTTATAGAGTTATGTATTTGCAATTGTGTGCAAACTAAATCCCTGTTTTTAACGTGAACTGTAAGACAGGACCATTTGGTTGGTAAGTTAAGCTAGGAATTTTTCTTTGTTGTTGTTTGACATGTGTAGCCCTTCCATGTGTTCCTTGCTGCAAAGGCCAGTTAAAGGTTGGGACAGTTGCCGCTTGTTTGCTCATTCCGGGTTCACATGCTCTAGCCATTTGAATGTCTGGGCTGAAACGACATTGCTTCCCCACATGCATATAGAATTCATGATCTTGGCACAGCACTCTGAATAAATGGCATGTTCAATGTGCCGTCCATTCAGAGCTCAGTGCGCATCTGCCAGTCACATCGCCGGCTGCCACAAATGCCTTATTATGGGCTTACCTGTAGGTACGAGTGAAAAAAGCAGATTTTAATACAGCTTTCAGCAGGGGTTATCATCAGTAAAAACTACATGTACAGTAGATTCAGAATTATGACCAGCTTACATTATATATGTAAAAGATGAGTTTTCGAAGAATGTCATGTTGGGACCCACACTTTTCCACTGCTTGAGTCCTCCTATTGCTCAGTAATGTTGTCCTTCAGATTAAAGTGGCAGTAGGAAGATTGGGAGCTGGCAGGGCAAAATATTTATACCCTTTGAAATTTTCCTCATTTTGTCATGTTACAACCAAAAATGTAAATGTATTTTATTGGGATTTTATGTGATAGACCAACACAAAGTAGCACAAAATTGTGAAGAGGGAGGAAAATGATAAATGGTTTTCAAAATGTTTTACAAATAAATATCTGAAAAGTGTGGCGTGCATTTGTATTCAGCCCCCTTTACTCTGATACCCCTAACTAAAATCTAGTTGAACCAATTGCCTTCAGAAGTCACCTAATTAGTAAATAGAGTCCACCATTGCGTTATTTAATCTCAGTATAATTACAGATTTTTTTGTGAAGCCCTCAGAGGTTTGTTAGAGAACATTAGTGAGCAAACAGCATTATGAAAGCATTTTTCAGAGAAGCAGCCAAGAAGCCCATGGTAACTCTGGAGGAGCTGCAGAGATCCACAGCTCAGGTAGGAGAATCTGTCTACAGGACAAATATTAGTCATGAACTGCACAAATCTGGCCTCTATGGAAGAGTGGCAAGAAGAAAGCCATTATTGAAAGAAAGCCATAAGAAGTCCCGTTTGCAGCTTGGAGAAGCCATGTGAGGGACACAGCAAACATATGGAAGAAGGTGCTCTGGTCAGATGAGACCAAAATTGAACTTTTTGGCTTACGTACAAGCAAAACACTGTGTGTGATGGAAAACTAACACTGCACATCACCCTGAACACACCATATCTAAACTTTTATAATGATAGGTGCACCATCCTGCCCTGTCCAGCCTCAGCAGCTGTTAACCCCTCAAAGAATTTGACACACTGCCAGCAGTGGGGCAGTGGTGGATGTAGGGGTCAACCTGTGCCTTCCATCGACAACTAAATGCCCAATGTGCTTAGGGTCTTACAGGGAGAATGTGGGTTTGCATACACTTTCATCTCCTATACAGGTATCTCTGGATCTATTGAACATTCTGACAACTTGTTGCTGAAGTTTATGTATTTTTAATCACATTAATTTGAAAAGGATTACATACAGAATAGAAGAGGAGATACAATGAAGGACAGGCATATGTGTTTGCTGATGTTTTTATATGATGGAGGCCGCAGAGTTTTCATTCTGATCCTAGCTCCACCCCCTAATACATAACCGACTTTAAACAAGATCATTCAAGATGACACTTTATATTTTTTAAGAGTCCCACTTATCTCCATTTTGGGTGACAACTGCAAAAAAAAAAAAAATCTCTTTTGCTCTACTTTCTTTTCTGGTTACATTAGTCATTAGGACAAACAATCATCTAAGAGGAGCTCCAGCCTCCCTCAAGGTAACCAAGATTGTAAAAATGTTCAGCTTTATTACCCCCAACATTTCATATTCCTGATATGTGCCAGTTGTATCATGTACTTGTATGAAAAA